AATTAATCGAAAAAATTATTAAATATAAGTTGCCTCCGCTTTAGACGTCCCCCATAATTGGAACGTTCACCCCTGTTGATTTCCTAATTAAAATTTAGAGTTTTTTTTGTAAAAAAGTGGTTTCGTTTCGATTTTTACGTTACACCTGATCCTGAAATTCGATTGGCCAAAATTACAGGGGGTGAACAATTTTTTGTGGGAGAGCTAGGGGCATCTGAATTTTTTAAAAAACCTGATTTATATGTTACACTTAATTTTAATTGGCTATAATACCCTAGTACCATAGTGCTATGGAAGTATAAAATAATTCCCTAAAAAAAAGATTCATTTAAAAAATGTGGCGTTTCCCATTAAAAAACAGCAAGCAATTCATTGTTTCTCGTAATATTTTATTTACATTAACTAATACACAAAAGTTATCATGGAAATTACGCTTTTCTTTACCAAATCGAACATATATACCTCGCGCGGGATTATATAATAGACCATCAATTGTTAAACCTATTTTATTCGCATGCTTCACGTCGGGCACAACCTTTGCAGTTGCCTTGGCTTATTCCGAACATAAACGAAGGACTAACAGAAGAGCTCTAATAGGACAATATAATAGTATGGAAGAGACGTCTGTTATTCCAAACTGGGTCAAAAGAGTATTTAGTCAACCATTAAAAAAGTTACAGGATTCAGACCTCTATATAGAACTTGAAAGGAACGTAGCACTTATAACGAGACGATGGCGTTTATTAAGTGATAGCCAAAAAACGATATTAACATTGATTGGGATCAATGCTATAATTTTTGGAATGTGGCAATTAACACCATTTCAACGTTTAATGGAAAAATATTTTGTTCATCATCCATTATCTGGTCGAATGTTTACTTTACTGACATCAGTTTTTAGTCATAAAGAGGCATGGCATTTCGGTTTTAACATGATTGCATTATGGTCTTTCGGTGGAGTAGTTTATAGAATGTTAGGTAAAGAACAATTTCTTGCATTTTATATTAGTTCAGGAGTAGCATCTTCAAGCGCAAGCCACGTATTGTCCTTGATGTTTAAGAATCAGAAGCAAATAATAGGTTCATTGGGAGCTTCAGGGGCTATTTTTTCGTGTCTAGGCGCGTGTGCCATGGTATATCCAGAGGCATCGGTATATTTGATATTTCTTCCATTCTTTCCTATAAAAATTGGGTATGCACTTCCGGCGCTTATGGCTTTTGATTTATTTGGTATAGTATCTGGACTGAGAATGTTTGATCATTTTGTAAGTATAATACATATTTGTAAAATTTTATATTTTTTACATATATTTCTAAACATTTTTAATTAACGTTAATATTTCATAAATATAGGCACATTTAGCGGGAGCAATTTTTGGAATATTATATAGTAAATATGGACCAGAAACATATTATATTATTCTAAGTATTTTAAGACAACTATAAAAATCTCGTAATTAACAATTTTTTTTTTTTTTTTTAACGAGATAAATACCTTGTATTTTAATTAATTGAAATGTTATTACATATTATTGAATGGTTTATTATTCTTTAAAAAATGAATTCTATAACATGATTATAATAAATATCTCATCTCACCAATGTTTCATTTTTTACATGCTTATAAATTAAATATGGTTATCTCATGAACATGTATAATATAATTTTTTCTATATGCTTAATCCATCTAAAATAAAAGAACAGATCTCAAAAGGTTCATTAAAATTTCTTGTAGCTTTAAATTTTATAAAGCTAACGGGGTTATTTTTATTTTCATCCTCAAAACATTTAAAATCCATGGTGATCATATTACTTTTTGGTATATCAGCCGAATCCAAATCCATGGCTACGATATTATCAACCGAATCATAGTCTTGAGCTTCATATGAAGATTCAAGTTTATCGCAAATTTTCTAAAAAGATATTTTTAGATCATGTTATAAATCGACAATATAAACAATTAATAAATAAAATACATTTTAAAATTACCCAGTTATATCCATCATAAGAAACTTCAACAGTAAAAGATGCATCAAAATTACTAATATCTTTTGAAGATACAATAGTAACTTTGTTATACGATTTTGGTTCTACAAATTGTAGTCCAAAATAATCACCACTTTTAGGTACTATAAAGGATTATTAAAATCATGAGATTAATGATAATAATTTAAGGGAACAATGAAAAATTGGTATTACTTTTAAAAGAATTCCAACAAGTGGTTAAATCCAAATCTACGGCATTATGATAAGCATGTTTTTCCCAGAATTCATTACTTGGAAAATCCAAGGCATTGAATTTAGCTTCCTGTTCATGAACATGGGTAATATTATTCGCGTAATAAATACTAGATGGATGAGGAAATGGGTCTATATTTGTGATGAATAGACATTTATCGTTTATGCAGGGTGCTCTACGTATGAAAGAATTAATGGATTAATTAATGAAAGAATTAATGGATTAATTAATGAATTAATTAATGAATAAATGAATGAATAAATGCGTGAATTTATATATATATTGAATAAAATAAATAGAAATAATAATAGAAATAACAATAGAAATATAAGATTGGAAATGATATTAAATAATATAAAGGTACCTAACGTCACGTTCGTGATAATAAGGAGTTTCTTCTACTCGTTCAAACAGGTCAGAATCTGGTTTGAGGGCCAGTGTAGTATATAATTTTTGAGTCGCGTCAAGCTAATCAAATTGGAATTAAGAATATTAATAAACGAAAGATAAGAAAGAGACATTAATGGAATTAACAAAAAAAATATAAATATATAAATTTTCAGAAGTACATTACAATATTACTATAAACCACGGACCAATGATCAATGCCACTACTCCAGCCGTTATCTTGATCCAATTGTGTTAAAGGATTAGAAAGTTGATAAGGATATTGATTTGACCACAAAGAAAAGTACATATCAGCAACTTTAAGGTGATCTTTTGGTAATGAAATATAACCAAGTTGACCCATAAACCTTTGAACTTTTGCTCTTGGAATAAAAGAACCGCAGCCGAGCCAAGTGAAACTGGTATGAAGATTTTTATCTAAAACAAGACGCTATATGAATGAATTAAATATATTAATAACATTAAACTTGATAATAGCACAATCAAGAACTTACCTGCATTAGAAAACATCCATCTTCGATGTTCTAAATGGATGAGTGGCATTGTGTTTGTATGAATTAGACTAGGGTTTCTGAGGAAATTAGTGTAAATACTGTCCATATATAAGTTTAACCAATCATCATCTTGGAAATAACAATAGTCATATTCAGCCATAGAACATGTCATGTATTTAGAAAGATCATGAAGATTTTCATCAGAATTAAACACATTCAAAACGACATTCATATTATCGAGTTTGAAATCCTGGGGGGGGGGGGAGAGGGATTTAAATAATATTTTAACAATTATTCTATTTTAACAATTGCATAAACTAATCAATAGGTGTCATCATTACCTCGACATTAAGCCTTGTTCCATTGTTATTATTCCATATCAATATTTCTTTTATATAAGGATATTTTGAAATATAATTCACCACTACCTTTAAACTTTCAGTACGTTTCCATCCCAACACTATTGCGGTTACAGGAATCAGATTATTCCTTTTTAAGGCGTCCTTAGTAAAATTTTCAGGTTTATAAAAACTTGTTCTAGAGTTAAGCTTTTTGTTCAGAATGATTTTCCAGGTTATTTGTGAAGTATCAGTTGTTAAAGGGTCAGAATCTAATGAGCCGCTTAATTCAGGCAATGCACGAGGATCAGAATAAGGACGAGGTTTTATGGTAATGATCAATATGGTGACAGCGAGTAATATTATAATTAGAGTAAATCTAAGATTGCTTCTACGATTAAAAAAGCGATGATAGGATAACGATGATCTCCTGTAACGAAATAGATCGTTCCCTTGACTCTTTTCGAACATTGCTAGAGCCTTTGGCGTAAAGACTCTGATACACTATTTAAAAAAAAAAGGAATGTTTTTTGGTATAAAATCTTTTAGGTATTATTATGAATATCAAAGAACACCTAATTTTATTGGTTTTATCGGCTATGCTTTGTGTTACCTGACTCTAAGAAGGCCCTTGTGGAGAAATGCTACGTACTTACGTACGTACGTACGTTACGTTCGTTGATTATCTAAAAATTGGTGCATACATGCGTACATGTGATGAGGTCTTTTTTGGTTACAACCAAATATTAAGACAATCCATGCTATTATTCGAAAAAAAAGTATCGTGGGAGACATGTCAAGACGACCAATCAAAGAAAAGAATAACATAAAAATCGCCATTGTTTTTTTCAATTGGGTTGAAAAAAAAAGATTCCTCGTTTAGATATCGTATGATATCTTATATAATCTAATAATATATAGTTAATATGGTATTTGATGGAGTCGCGAATATGTGTAAATATATGGGGGGGTGCCAGTAGAAACCAAGCAATTTGTTTCTAAGTAAAATTTTTTTGGACTTTAAACTAAAAT